GCAGACAATGGAGGACAGCAAGGGTCTCCCTCTTGAACAGAGAGTAGTTCCTCTCCGTCGTACAGAGAGTCCGGCTCTCAAATCGCAAGGGTCTTTCCTTTCCTTCCATATCTGCCTGAATTAGAACTCCCCCTAAGGCAGTCGGTCCCGCATCCGTCTCGACAATGAAGGGTCGCGTCTCTGTGGCGTCATAATCTGGCGCTCCTAACACCAACCCTCCTTCTCGAAATTCCTCCTTCATTTTTGCTACCACCTCTTCTTGTTCCTCACCCCATACCTATTTCTGATCCTGACGAACTAACTTCCTCAGGTGTTCAGTCCTAGCGGCAAAGTTCTTGACGAAGACCCTCCAAAATCCACACGTACCAAGGAAGCTCCTGACATGAGTTATTSAGTGGAACGGAACTGGCCACTCAGTAATCTTGTCCGTCTTCTTCACATCCGGCCTTCGGCCCTTCTCATTGCAGAATATCCCCAAGATAGTCGCTTCCCTCATGCAGTGTCTGGATTTGGCCCCGCTTCCCGTGAGGTTATGCTCTTCGAGCAGGCTCAGGACCTTTTCGAGGTCCTGAATGTGCTTCCAGACAAAGCGCCTTACCCCTGGTGAGACTTCGTCGCTCTCTTTCGTCGCTGGCAGGATCGCATAAGAGGAGGATCAACGTCCCATCATGTTTGTTGAACATCACGGTCTCTGTCCTGCTTAGGAATGACCTCCCCAGGAGGATTCCATGGTTCACGTTTGACATTATGAAGAAACACGCCCTGACCTTCACCTTTCCAACCTCGACGAGCACATTCGAGGCTGTCCCACAAAACATGGCCTTACAGCTGACTCCATGCAGAATACCGCAGTCAGAACGGTCTATATCCAGCCCGAATCTGATCGCGTCCGCCTCCCGAATAATGTTCATCTCTGCCCCGGTGTCCACCATTGCTGCGCACTTGGAACCCTTCACCATCAAATCCACCGTACCGCAGGCTACGCACTTCCAGTCCATCTTCGTACCTGACTCTGCCCACTCTGCCTCCTTGGGCAAGATCGTACCCAAATTTACATTGGGCACCAGACGCCGTGATAAGCTCCCCTTCAGTTCATCGCGGAGTCGCGGGGCTGACGCTAGGATTTCCTTAAGGGTCATGAGGTCATTATGCCCTTCCAGCAGCCGGTCAATCACCTTCTCTACGTCAAATCCTTCTTCCAACCGGACCGTGTATTTCTTCTTTTTGGGCGGTCCGTCCTGTATGACCGGTTCGGCCTCTCCCCTGATCCCCTTTTTCCTTGCCCCCTGCTCCGCTCTCTGATCCTCTTCTCTGCGCAGCCTCTCGTCCTCTTCCTCTTCGTCATCGTCGTCCTCTACTTCCACAGCCTCCTTCCTTCTCCCTGGTTCGTGTTCCCCCATTGGAGGCTCTTGGCTGGTACTGGTCTTGGCTTGATTCCTCGTTCGCGCTGCCTGTGTCAGCCGGGCTTGCGGAGTGAGGGGTCTCCCCCTCATTCCTTGTTGAGGGCACGACCCCACCACATTTACTCCGGGTCGCCCAGGCGCTGACTCCGGGCCGGAGTCATAGAGGAATACTGTGGGGATGTTAGACCTCCATCCTTTCACTTCTTTACAGAGGCCCACCAACTTCTGTTGGTACCTCCCCATCTTATCCAGCAAGTCCTTCATCTTCTAAAATAAGACGGACGGAGGCTCCGTTCTTTCCTCCTCTTCCTCGTCATCTGACTCGATGATTATGGCCTCTTCCGTCTCACTTCCTCCTCGTAGCCCTTGAGTCACTTCCTCATCACTTCCCACTTCTTCCACCCCAAACGGTGGTTCCTCCTTTTCCTGCCATAGCCTGAACATGGCAGGGGGCGGTGGTCCCGCTGCCGCTCTTCGTTGGGCTTCATCCCTCACTCCTCCAAGGCTTCTGTCAATGGCCTCCCCAAATTGATCGTAGATATCCCCATCCATAGTAGAGGAAATCAGCCCGCTTCTCTCGTCTTCCCGTCTTATATTACA